TAATTGACAAATTATTTTAACTTTTACTAAATTTATAAAAAAAATTTTTAAGTTTGTTGATCGTTCGTCTCAACGAATTATTTGTGCTATTCAACGAAGGTTCGACTATATATTTATTTTATATTTTACAAAATCACCAATTGACTGGTGAAATTAATAATAAATTGGTCGCATAACAGTGATGTTAAGAAATTTTAGATGAAAGAAGATGAAAAATTGACAAGTTCAAGCAAGATTATGAATCAATTGATGAACATTTAGACGTGTGAAATTGAAATTGGCCAATCAAATATGATACATATATTTTTCAGACAAAGGATTTACCATATAAAGCTACAAAATCTTATTATATTTGGATCAAAATAAATTGGCCCTACTACAATCACTACCAGCAGCAACTATAACAATATACATTACAGAAGAAAGGTTAGTAATTCAGACCTATATATTACCATTACTGGTAATAATATTGGCGTAATATCATCAAACATACAAGCCAGTTCAATTATTTATTAGGATCATATAGTTCTTGTGGTGATTCTGAATAAATAAAAATTTTTAATAAATAATAAACAATAAATAATAAATAATAAATAATAAATAAAAAAAATAATAAATAAAAAATAAAAAATGCTACACAACATATAATTTAATATTATTATCTAATTAATTATTATTTGTTTTGGAATTATCTTTTTTTTGGTTGGTGTTTGTGTAGGTATCATTATTGCTTTTATATAAATTTAGGGTTTAAGGTTCCATCTAATATATTGATTATTTCTGTAATACGTTGATTAATTGTTCTTTCATCTGATCAATAATAATGCTATTTTTTTTTTATTCTTTCTTTTTAAGATGTAAAAAAACAAAAAACAAAAAATTCTGAAAGGATTTGGGATAAATTTTTGAAGGAAGAATATAATTTGACTCTCTTTAATGTTGGAAAGGAACATCCTTATTCAGAATACATTAACAATCTTAAAATTCCAGTACAACCCAACAATGGTGATAAATCACCTTCTTTCCTTTTGTACAACTTGCCAGAAACTAATAATGAAGGGATAATAAATGGTAGTTATGTTAATAAAAATTATATGAATAAGTTAAAGGAAAAGGCTATGAGTTGGAGATGGTTTATTATGCTTGGTAAAATTTTTATATGTGTAATCATATGTATAATTACAAATACCATCCTGCGATGCTAATGATTTTAAGAAAAATTGTGTAGAAGTGGAAAGACTCGTAACTTGTTTGAATTGCTATGTCAAGTATATGGTATCTATTTTACAATCCTTGCAGGTCATGGCAACCCT